GTGCACTTTTAAAAATTTATAACTTCATTTGTATTTGCGATAGAAATAATTTGTAAAAAGGATTAGAAAGAAGTAAATCTATATTTTTAAAGTTTTATTGAAATTTTATTTAAGTTTCTACATGTCCTCCATCATTAGCAATACAAAGGGTAATAAGATTTTGCAGTTCACGGAAAACATTTGCTAACTGATTTACAGTAATGTCTGAAATCGCATTAGTTATTTTAGCTATACTTAAAACTAGGTACATTAAACTTTATAACATTTTTTACAGATTATTTCTATCGTAAATACAAATAAACTTATAAATTTTTTAAAGGGCACACGAACTTTATGGACAGGCTGTATATGTGTTTGTCTAACTTAATTTTGGGCCTATAATAAAACATGAGTATTTTTTCCTCAGTTTCTTCTTTAAATAATTTTATAACTTTTTTAAACTTAATATAAATTAAATTTAAAATTGGAAATTTTTAACTTTGAATTTCATAGTAAAATTTAACATTAATAAGTTAGAATGAATTCTATTTTAGTCTAACCCTCAGATTAAAGCATTACTTAATTCTTATGACCAAGGTTCGTTGTCAAGTTTTTTGAATTTTCATATACTTGTATTTTGATTGGTCATTCCAACTTATGTAACAGCCTTTCCCCTAGCGTGGGGTGTTTAATTGATTTGAACTTTTTAAAACCCTTTATTCTATATTCAACATCATCACTTGATAAGACACCAGAAGTGTTGAAACAAAATGGCTATTTTTAGTAATTTTATAACATATTTATGCTATAATTTTCGAATAAATAATTATATATATATATATATATATATATATATATATATATATATATATATATATAATGTGTGATTTGTCGTTTCTGATATCACGAGATTCAAGTCTCACCGGTACCGAATGAAGACATTTAAGCCCAAACTATCGACCACAGTCCCTGCCATATTGGCATTAACATTCACTGAGTTTGAACGCATTGACAATGCTTCAAATGCACAAATCCTCTTTAACTAGAAATTCCTGTGCTTGAACCTTTTTAACTGTAGGGCAAAACCTTCACAGAGCCAAGTCGACACTTTGAACAACGAAAGCATTTATCAAAAAAGAAATTGTCTCCAAGAATGGAGGCAATCGAAATTACAACTTACAGGTTTACTACCACTCCAATACAGATGATGCACAAAGTGACAGCGGGGTTTCGGCCCCGGGCGGCACTTATATGGGCGCGGTGCTTTTGTGTCTGCTGTAGGCGATAAGCCTGTATAGGCTGTATTGAAATAAAAGTGGTTTTAATGTCGATACAGTATTCACAGTTGGAGGATCTTTTCGATTTTGAGTAACTGAAACTATGGCATATATATTGACCTATCTGCTGTCTATAGAATGACAATTGACAGATGAAATAGTTTTTGACGATGTCATTGAAGAATTTGCCAACAGAAAAGCAAGAAATATTACTTTGTAAAAAGTTATAATTTTCATTTCAGGAAAAAAAAGATAATCTTAATTTTTGACACTTTTTCCCAAAATATCATTTTTGCTTTTTAACTGTTCCTGACAAAGTATGTCTGGGGTCCGTTTAAAGCACACTATATTTGACTATGTGAAAGTGATATTATTAATGGTAATACAAACTAGTTTTATAACTATCAGACTGAGTCAGTGTGCAATATATATTTCTGTAGAAACCCGAGAGTCACAAACTCAAGTGCGGCACACAATCTAGTTATGCCACTGTTTGAAAGTAAAAACAATACTGCCACAGGCGCCAGCACTCCCCAGCTGGTATATGCACCGAATGCATGTCTAATGTCATATCCTTGATACAGACACACATATGAATTGATTGTGATAGATAGATAGATAGATAGATAGATAGATAGATAGATAGATAGATAGATAGATAGAGAATGAACAGGTTTAGATAGATAGATAGATAGATAGGATTGATATGAACAGGTTTGAGATAGATATGAACAATAGATAGATAGATAGATAGATAGATAGATAGATAGATAGATAGATATGAACAGGTTTAGATAGATAGATAGAGATGAACAGGTTTAGATAGATAGATAGATGATATGAACAGGTTTGATATGAACAGGTTGAGATAGATAGATAGATAGATAGATATGAATAGATAGATAGATAGATAGATATGAATAGAGGGTTTAGATAGATAGATAGATAGATAGATAGATAGATAGATAGATAGATAGATAGATATGAACAGGTTTAGATAGACAGATAGATAGGTTGATATGAACAGGTTGAGATAGATAGATAGATAGATAGATGATAGATAGATAGATAGATATGAACAGGTTTAGATAGATAGAGATATGATAGGTAGATAGATAGATAGATATGAACAGGTTGAGATAGGATGAGATAGATAGATAGATATGAACAGGATAGATAGATAGATAGATAGATAGGTTGGTTTAGATAGATAGATAGATAGATAGATAGATAGATGAACAGGTTCAGATTAGATAGATAGATAGATAGATAGATAGATAGATATGAACAGGTTTAGATAGATAGATAGATGATAGATAGATAGATAGAGATAGATAGATAGATAGATAGATGATATGAACAGGTTTAGATAGATAGATAGATAGATAGATAGATAGATAGATAGATAGATAGATAGGTTGATATAGACAGATAGATAGGTTGATATGAACAGGTTGAGATAGATAGAGATAGATAGATAGATAGATAGATAGATAGATAGATAGATAGATAGATAGATGAACAGGTTCAGATAGATAGATAGATAGATAGATAGAAAATGCCACTGATTGTTCTTTTCTTTGACACGCCTTCCTCGCAAGTCAAAAAAAAAGCCTCAACCTTTTTTACCTGAACACCTCAAGTTTATTTTATTTATTTATTTTCAGTCAGAAATTTTCCCAGTGGCCTTGATAAATTCTAGAATAAAATTGCAGTATTTAACTTCCGTTTAAAGCCGATTAAATAAATCAAACGCAATTTATATATATATATATATATATATAGGTAAAATGAGACCAAATGGAGTTCCACTGTCTGTAACATTTATTTTAAAACAGGGCTCAATACAGTGTAAAGCGAAATATTTTATTTTAGCATATTAAAACAAAAACATGTTAAAAATCGCTACACAATGGCAATTATGTTTCAATACTACAAATGTGTCTCCTCCGGCGATGGAAAACTACTTGCGAGTGAACGATTAATTTGATTTCGAAAGCTGAATGCTTCCTCTTTTTTCGAGAAAAAAAACTGATTTAAATATAGGCTTGTGAGCTTTACCGTCATTAGCCAATCGAATGTGACCTACGCTAAATTCAAACTCACCAAAAAAAAAAAAAATTATTATATAGCTCATGACACGAAGTTGTCTGCATATAAATCCTAGACAACTTCATTGTGGACGGATACAAATGGTTACATTATTTCGTAAGATGTATAGAAGTCTGCCGTTCAACTTCCATAAGAAATAAAAACAAAGATGGTAGGGAGATAATTTAACAATTTAATATTGTAGTACACACACACACACACACACACACACACACACACACACACACACACACACATATATATATATATATATATATATATATATATATACTAGCAGAAGTACCCGGTGTTGAACGAGAGGAAATTCCAGAAATATAACTCTCTCATAAAAATTTACAAACGTCTAGGATAACATAAAAATGAAAATAACAATAAATATTTTTAAAGTTTACACTTTTACAAAAGGATTTCTCTGTATATAATGTTCTTAGTTTTTTGATTGGATGCTTAAATGTAAAGATTTCTTTTGCTTCCAACCCTGGAGCATCCAACATACAGTTGACTATGTGAAAACCAAGAATCTTCTAAGTTTAATCCAGCCACTGTTTATTGACGTTGAAATGCTAAATTTGACTGGAAATTGCAGTCTCTCGATATTGAACGGGACACATGCAGTGATCAAGAGAATTCTTGGTATATAGACATCTTCTCTCTCATAACCAGAAAGAATCGTTGCTTCAATAATACGAGACATCATTCTTTTTACTAGAAGTCTTGTGCCGTTGCAGAGTTTTGGAGGATCAAGATTTCGTTGTAGAATTTTTAGATGTAGTCTATGTGGTGGTAATCCAAGAATTAAAGAATTCTCTGGGATAATTGACTGCATCCAACTGGTTAATAATAGTATCAAAAAATTAAAATGATTGACAGTTTCCAGGGATCATTTTCAAAAGTTTAAAATTAATTGAATTGACATTATTTAAATTATTTGGACTATTGTCTCATCTTTGTCGCCATGCTTATCACAAAGACACATGGCACAGGGGACAAAGGCTTTAGTTAGCTCCAGTGAAAGAACCCAAAGTGTGTGAGTTCATACCTGGTTAAGGCGGTGGGGAACTTGGAGAGGGGAATTAACAGGAGATAACTGACATCCATTAGACATGGCACGTGGAACTAGAACAGTCTACCCCAATGAGCGAAATAAAGGGTTCAGTTCGACATTTCGACCACCTGAAGAAGGCTGGAGCGTACAACGACCAAAACGTTGTGATAAACATGACGACAAAAATGAAGACAATAGTCCGAAGAATATAAAGAGTATACAAAATATCTCATCTCAGAAATATAGACAGATACTGAAGGGCCAAAACGCTGTAATAAATATGGCGACAAAGATGATGACAATAGTCCGACTAATGTAAATAGTGTACATAATACCTCATCTCAGAAATATAGACAGGTACGGAAGGGCCGAAACGTTGTAATAAATATGGCGACAAAGATGAGGACAATAGTCCGACTAATGTAAATAGTGTACATAATACCTCATCTCAGAAATATAAACAGATACTGAAGGGCCGAATCTTTGTAATAAATATGGCGACAAAGATGAGGACAATAGTCTGAATAATGTAAATAATGTACATAATACCTCATCTCAGAAATATAGACAGATACTGAAGGGCCGAATCGTTGTAATAAATATGGCGACAAAGATGAGGACAATAGTCTGAATAATGTAAATAATGTACATAATACCTCATCTCAGAAATATAGACAGATATTGAAAGGCCGAAACGTTGTAATAAATATGGCGACAAAGATGAGGACAATAGTCCGAATAATGTAAATAGTGTACATAATACCTCATCTCATCAGATATTCGAAAGTAATAAAATATAGACAGTCCGAATAACTAAATTGAATTGACTAATTGAATTGACTGTGGTATTTATTGGCGCTAGAATGACACTCTCAAACAACCATTTACCATTTTGATAATTAGCACTGATATTTCATTTATAGTGAGCATTAGCATTTGGAAAGACTTTGGCAATTAACTCTAATATTGATGGTATTAAAGTACATATAAGTGATGAATCAATGAAATTTTCACTGTCATATGACAGTGAAAATTTCATTGATTCATCACTTATGGGACTCTCCTCTCTCCCAGAGCTAGCAAGTTTTCAGCAAATTGATTTGATGTTATATCTCCATACAGGTATACTCTTAAATTAGTTGTCGATTTTAGGATCATTACATGTATGATTTCAATGAAGCTCGAATGTCATCTGTTCTTTTTGGAATGACAGGGAGTATTTATCTAAAGCAGCTGGCTGGCAAACTTTTCAGTGCAAGGGCGACATTTAAAATTCCATTTTTACTGGGCCGCGTAGTATATTAACCCAAAATAATATTTAAAATAGACAAAAGAAATGCTTTTAAAGAAAAAAATTCAATTAATTTTTATTAATTAATATTTTATAGTACTGTAGAAGATTCATATGAAACGCATTTATTTGAAAGACAGCTTATCTCAGTTTAAAGTACTTGAAAGAAAAAATATTAAGTCTTCTTAAGTTGCAGATTTACATAAGACACATTTGAAAGACAAAGTAACCTTGTTTTAAGAAAAATATTTTTATTACTTAATATTATAAAGTTGAAAACATTTATTAAAAAAACAAATTAACTCTGCGTAAAGAAATAAAAATTCTTACTAATATTTTAAAGTAGAAACTTCAAGTAAAACACTAAAGTAAGTAACTAAATTTAAAGAAAAAACAGATTTGTTTGAAAACAAATTAATTCAGCTTAAAAAAAATTATTGATATTTTGAAGTAGTAACTTCACAGATTTTTTGAAAAACAAAGTAATTCAGTAACAGAAGAATCTCAAGGAGAATAATGTATTTGATTGCCGCCATTTACTAGTTTGTTAAAATTAGGCGTCAAATTGCTTGTAACAATTATTTGCGTTGCTTGGTAACTTTCCCTTTGAAATTTACTAATATTTAGCGGGTGGCATGAATTCTTTTGTCGAGCCACATGTGGCTCGTGGGTCGTAGTTTGCCCACCCTTGATGTAAAGTCACCTGAGAGAAGCACGGATATTCCACCCATCAGTTTTCCTAATACCCCTTAGTTTTCTACCCAAAGCTTCAAAAGCTCTCTTAGGGTTCATAATGAATTCATTCCAAAAAATCAAGTAACACCTTTTGATAACATGTGCGTTTCCAGAATTATTTGGTATATTGCACATAAGATTTTCATTCCTGTTCAAGTTCAGTGGAAGTTTGAATTTTGAATAAGCTGCCAGGTAATAATATAGCAGCAATCCCTGATGAAGCAACTGAAATTGCAATACGTTTTTGTCTTCTTACCTTAGCCAGTATTAAGGTGGTAACAAATGATTTTCCTATTCCACCAGGTGCATCTAGGAAGAATATTCCACCTTTGTGTCATGAGCTATTTTCTGGTCAGGCAGTATCATTGTTTTATTTTCCTCCTCGTAGCTTACTAATGAAGATATATCATATGCAGTTTCTCTGATCAATTCTCTTGTTAACTCATTCTCATTTCCTCATTTTGGTCTATGGAAGGCCATAAGCGTGTAGATGTTCCTCCCAAGAAGTGATATTTACATCACCAAGCCGGATCAAGGCTCTGATGTGATAATGTTAAATAGTCAGGATTATATTGATAAAATGGAAGTCATTTTACATGATTCCCCTAAATTTAGGACGATTGGTTCTGTAAATGTGACAATACCAACAAAATAGATGTGAGAATACGAAGACGGCTGCTTTCTGTATATAAAACCAATCTGATTTCCAAGAGTGTGTACAATTACATCTATTGGTTCTCAACTTTTACGGTTGTATGATTTACCCAGGGTACATAAGGACAATGTGCCTCTCAGGCCCATTCTTTCTATGATTGCTTCTGTGCAACACAAACTGACAAAATGGTCGCCTAAAATATTCCCATCTGTTTCTGAATTGTTTTCCACCCACGGTATTTCTGACTCCTTCAAATTTTCTAATTTTATTAGAAATTTGGAAATTTGTTCTAAGGACAAACTCCTAGTGACATTTGCCGTTGTTAGTTTGTATACGAATGTACCCCTTCAAGATACCGTAACAAACAATGTCCTGACCCTCTCTACAGGGGTTGCCTGTGCCCTGTTTTAATGCTGGAAGCTCTTTCTTTTTTTTTAGTTTATGCATTTAGCAACTGAAAGAGTTTAGTTTTGACAATACTATTGTTGCACCTGAGTTATCAAAAACACTTGTAGAAAACCGGAATTGGTTTAACAACAACTTTATTGCCTTTTCGTACAGGGAAATATAATGTAGAATAGAAACTAGGGAAGAGAAAATTTAGCCATGAATGACTAACTGCCTTCAGCAAAAGCTACTGCTGCTCCTCCTGATGTGGGAGTATTTATATGTCTTTCGTTCATCACACTAAATATCTGACTTTATACAAACTTTATAAACTTAAATTCACAGTGAACACAGTGAACACAGAGAAAATCGAGCCATTTTTGTTGTAAGTGATTTATCAAAAACAACACTAAAAAATCAGGATTGGTTTAACAAGTTTATTACCTTTCAGTGCAGGGAAACATAATGTAGAATAGAATCTAGGGAAGAGAATGTTTAGCCGTGTATGACTAAATGCTTTCAGCAAAAGCTACTGCTCCTCCTGCTACTGCTCCTCCAACTACTCCTCTTGATGCAAATGGTCGTCTGTCTTTTCAACCCCGAGATTGAAAGATAGACGACGACTTTCGTTGTCTGCCGAAATAGCCTATTCCCCATATGAAGTAAAAAGATTTTTTATTATGAATTATATTGCTCTGTATAAACAAAATACATCGAGCTCTTTTTTTTTGTGGATCAGTTCTAATATTTTCATATTACTAGGATCCACTTGGATTATATACCAACGGATTTTTACCTTACTATATATATATATATATATATATATATATATATATATATATATATATATATATATATATATATATGCTAACCGAAATAGACTTTCCAATATCCTTTTATGGTAATGTCAACGTATCGCCATATTTTTTCGGTGATTTGCTACAAGAGACACTTATGTACTCAATTTTTTGGATAACGTTTCTTTGATTCAAACTTTTTTTCTTGTAGATTCTTTAAACGAAAAACGTTTCTTTATCATTTCTCTAATAAAGCTCCGTTAATATTAGTTCCTTTTCATTTTGATTTTTTTTATTGGGTGCGGAAGGTACTTTTTGTTTTATTTTGTTTTACCTTTTCTTTACTTTGATTTTCTTTCTTTTCCACATCAATCGTTTCGACATCTTGTTAATTTATATTACGTCATTCCTTCCTTTTCTGTTTTATATTTTAATGATTTTGTTTTTATTTATTTATTCATACATTTCTTATTTATTTATTTTCTTTTTTTTGGTTTCTCTTTCTGTTTTCCTTCTTTCTTTCTTTCCTTTCAACCTCTGTGTGTGTGCGTGTGTGTGTGTGTGTGTGCGTGTGTGTGTGTGCGTGTGTGTGTGTGCGTGCGTGTGTATGTGTGCGTGTGTGTGCGTGTGTGTGTCTGTTCTAGTGCTTCATTCTTTCACACTTTGCACCTCTTCCTTTTTCTCGCTTTTTATTCAAAGGATTTACAGTAATTTTTCTCTTTCTCCATTTACACTATTCACATCACTCGAACTGTTGTTCTCATCTTTATTGCCATATTTACGACGTTTCGGCCGTTGTACGCTCAGGCCTTCGTCAGGTGATATACGTTAGAATTGCGAACCGTTTATTTAATCCATAGGGTAGTACTTTTATTATTTTAGTATATTTTTAGCATTTTAGTATATTTTTAGCATTTTAGTATATTTTTAGTAAATTTAGCATATTTTTAGTATAATTAGCATATTTTTATTATTTTAGTATATTTTTAGTATATTTAGTATATTTTTAGTATTTTCGTATATTTTTAGTATTTAGTTTATTTTAGTATATTTGATATATTTATTATTTCAGTATATTTTTTGTGTATTTAGTATATTTTAGTATTTTCATATGTTTTAGTATTTAGTATATTTTTTAGCATATTTAGTATATTCTTAGTATTTTAGTATATTTTTAGTGTATTTAGTTTATTTTTAGTATATTAATATATTTTTAGTATATGTAGTATATTTTTATTATATTTGGTATATTTTTAGTATTTTAATATATTTTTAGTATATTTGGTAAACTTTTTAGTATTTTAGTATATTTTCAGTATATTGAGTATATTTTTAGTATTTTAGAATATTTTAGTATATTTAATATATTTTTAGTATTTAGTATATTGTTAACATATGTCGGAAAAAAAAAACTTTCGACACAGTAAAGTAGGGAAAACCCAGAAGAGAGCAGCGACAGCCTGGTAAGGGTTGCAAAAGGAATCCTCCTCTTGCGACCTGCTCCAACTAGGTCGAGTAACAGAGCAGAAAAAAAGAAATAATCCTTCAGCACGACAAATAACCAGTCACGTGTCGGCTGATAGAGAAAATAGGTCAATCAGAATACAGAGGAGGGTTTTTATAAGGAGGCTAACTGCTTCCCACAATCCTCCTCCGACCAAGACCATAAATATCAGTTGGTCATTTGGTTCCAGTTTAGCTGGACACAATTCCCCTGAGGCTCAAGCAACCCGTCCGTAGTAACCCTTCTCTCTTCCTCTTTCCTTTTCTTCACACATTCCCGACAGCAAAAACACAAAAAAAAGACGTGTAGAAAAGAAAGAGAAGAGAGAAAACAAAAAGAACAAAAAAAAAAAAAAAAAAAAACGGGTAACAATGTCTCCCCTGACAGGCGAGTTGAGTTCTTATTTCTAAATGGCTAACTGATTGCCAATTAGGCGGGAAGCAGACTTGGTCTACCCCTGCGTCGTCTTTGGGGCGCACACTCAGGGCAGTACCACTTCTGCCTTTCAGGCGGCTCCTCGTCAATGCCAACACAACGAAAATGGAACCATTCATCACAAGAATCACACACTGATCATGTCCAGATTTCCCTGAGGAGAGTTGCACACAGGACACAACCAGACATGCTCCTCATCGTTGGCAGCAGAACATGATGGAACCTCGTCCCTCTCTGCAATCAAAAGCACTCCCAGGGGGTGACACAGGACCACTAGTTGGTAACTCAGAAGAACGGTTAGCTGTCAGGGAAAGTTCCAGTGGGTAGAGGTGTTTCAAAGAGTGTACCTCTTCGAGACCACCCCCCTTTCGGACACGAGCAGACCTGACCACACCATCATCACCGGGTATGAGATCTGTAATTGTCCCTAAGACCCAAAATGGTCGCGGTTTCAGAGGACTCTTAATCAGGACCACATCATCTTTCTGAAGCCGGTTCTCTGTCCGCAACCGTGTGCGTCCAGGACCCTTCTTCCCAGCTCCAGAAGGTATTCCTTGTACCAGGACTCATGGAACCTTAATAAATACTGGTTCCTGATGTCCATTGCTTCCACGAGCCTTTTTCTACTGGCTGGTACTGCAGAAGCGATGTCATTTTTGTTCAATCGCAACAACAGCCCCGGACTCTTGTTGGGCCTAAGTAACATGTTGGGTGTGATAGCAGCAGCATTGTTATCAGCAGACAACTGATAGGTCAGAGGTCGGTTGTTGACCGATCTCTGAATATCAGAGACCACTGTCAAGAGGGTAAAATAATCCAGTTTACCTCTGCCAAGAATCTTAAAAAGGCAATCCTTCACCGTTTTAATGCAACGCTCCCATGTTCCCCCGTACCAAGGTGAAAACAGAGGGATGGTTTTTAGTTTTAACCCGCAAGAACCATACTTGCTTTTATACTCCTGGAAGACAGAGAGGCGACTAAAAAGTCTTCCGCTTCCCAGAAAGGTTTTAGCATTGTCACTGTAGATTACTTCCGGAACTCCACTTTGGTTGGTGAAGCGAACCAGGGCTTGAAAGAAGGATAGCACACTCATGTCTGGAACCAACTCAATATGTATTGCTCTGATATTCAAGCACGTGAACAAGAGCAAGTACATCTTCTTGTCCTGCTTACCATCATTCACCCAGAAATGGCCGGTGAAATCAACGCCTGTATGCTGGTAAGGGACCTCAAATTCGACTCGATGAGTTGGTTGGCTGCAGCACTCGGCAGTACTGGTCGCGAATTGTATCGTTTGCATCTGGCACATGACTTTAGAACCTTGTTGACGGCCTGTCTTCCTTGAGGGACCCAGTAGCCGCTCCGCCTCAACTCAGCCAAAGTAGATCCAGTTCCAAGGTGACAACACTTTATATGACAATCCAAAATAATAAGTCTGGTCACAGGGTGGTGTTTCCCTATCAGGATAGGGTTCTTGATTTCATAGGTAAAATATGAAGATCGGTCGATTCTTCCTCTTGATCTGATTAACCCATCCGAGTCAAAAAAAGATCCAGGGCACGAACTCTGACGGGTTCAGATCTTCCTGCTGGCTTCATTAAATACTCAACCTCTGAAGGAATTCATGTCGTTGGAGAACTCTCATCAGGTAAATGGCTGCCTTAGATCTGTAATCCCACTCCCGTCCTAGCCGAATGGCTATGAACTTGAACACCAGTGAGGTAACTCTCAGTAACCCAGAAAATGTTGAGAACCTGTGAAAGGGTATGACGGAGAGGTATTCTTGGTTCAGAACCATAGAACAGTGCACTGAAGTACGGGCCATCTGCTGGCACGTCTCGCTTAAACAAGGCAAGTCTTGTGTCGGCCACTGGATGATTCCCTCACACAACCAAGAAGGACCAGAACACCAAAATTGGAAGTTGGAACGAAACTTCCTCAACGTCATTCCCTCGTGATCAGATCGGCCGGATTATGTGCAGAATCCACATATTTGAAGAGAGTCTTCAGGCCGTAACGGGATTCTAACCCAAGGTTCATTTGCAGGACGTCCTTGAGTCGGTTTCAGCAAAAATGTTTTTGATGGCCATGGATTGAGACAAGAGCCAAGACAACACTACTTGGGCATCAGTAGCCACACATAAGTTACTTGGAACAAACCCTTCACAGTTGTCCAGGATTGTTGGTAGGCACTTGAAAGCGAGATAAACAGCCATTAACTCCAAAACAGGTAGAGTTTTGTCTTTCATCGAGCGACCTTAGCCTTAGCAAACACCAAGGACGATCGATGATTTTGCACAATGTAAGCGGCAAATCCATATGCCTCCGTGGAAGCGTCGCAAAGAGGTACATATCTCCAGGCTGTCTCGCATCGAGAACCTTTCGATAAAAATGGAAGTCACTCAGTCCAGACAGGTCCCCAGCAAGCTCCCCTCCAATCACTTAAAACCGCAGTAGGGAGAGGATCATCCCAACCCAAACCATTCTTCCACATAGACCCTAATAAGTATTCGGCTGCGAACCGTAACTGGGAGACAAAGAGATAAGGGGTCAAAATTTTGGCTGACTCAGAAAGCACTCCCCTCTTTGTTGACGCATCGGGATCGCACCTGACGTGGGCCCACGTGCATCTCTTCTGAAAGAGGGTTGTATCGGTAACCCAGCACCTTCTCCCATTCTTCATCATGTGCACTCAGTGTACCATCTTCTTTCATCCTGGCTCGAGAGCCTCATCGTTGGAGTTGCAGGACTGAATAACAAAGCCGCCTTCCTGCAAACGTTCCCGTGCCAGGGAGTACAATTTCGCCAGCTTCACTGGATCTGCTTCCGATGTTACAAGGTTGTCCACATAAAATCTGTCCTCAATCATCCTGCGGCAAGCGTCCAGTGGGTATCTTGCTGCATGTAGTTTCAGGATACACCCCAGTACAAAGGGGCTTGAGGTGAACCTGAATATCAAGGTGGTATATCGAAAACAGCGAAGACGATCCCCATCCTTAAGGAAGAAACAAAACCGGTTTTTGTCAGTCTCCAACTTGAGATGAATCATCAAGAATGCCTTTCGAATGTCTGCTAGCAGAACGTAATTGTTAGTTCTGAAAGACAATAATAACTTCAACATATCTCCAGTTAGATTGACCCCAGAGTAAGCTGCCTCGTTCAGGGACAATCCACCACCAGTCTTCAGACTGCAATTGAACACAGGTCTGATTTTGGTAGTAGCTGTTGGGTCAGACCTGAAAACCGGTCGATGTGGAATCCACATATTTATCAAATTCGTGTTGGGGAACAAAAATCTCTTCAATTATTCCATCCTGTTCTTGCTGACGGAACACCTCTAAGTATTCCAGATAAATATTCTTTTTAGTCAGGGTTGAAGCCACCCGGTCCAAGATGCGCAAAGAAACGGCGTGATTGGATGGGACCTGAGCCAACTTATCAGAATGCCAGGGAAGCTCCACGTAATACTTCCCATCCTTGAGCTCCACAGTATCCTTAAACGTCTCATCTGTTCTTGATCATAATCAGAGAAGGTATCCTCATCAGATATTCCTAGGGACTCCATGTCAAACATCCGTTCCAATCCTCTTTTGTACTGCACTGTCAGGAAAAAAACTCCGCCAAAGGGTCAAGGTAGGTTGGTTGGTTTTCAAGAACGAAGCACAAATGTGAGGAATTCACTTCTGGGGGTATCCCCATTACAGTATTAAAGGAGAGGTGGGCCACTTCACAAGGGATCTTGTCTCCTGACAAAAGGAGTCCACAGTTCCAAGGGAACCAGGCCTGATGGAACAGAAAATGCCCAACCCCTCAGACAGGGGACCAACTTCAATGTAATCAATCGATGAATAAGGTCCAATCCAATAATGCCCTTTGATAAGCACAAGGTCTGACCTGGCCCTCAAATTGGCCAGCCAAATTATAGTCAGCTGCCCTAAAAGCACCCAACAGGGTCTCCAAGTGAGCCAGTCGTACAGACAAGTCCATTGCATCAGTGACCAAAACAGAGGAAGCCAAAGCCTCACCAGAACCAAGGTCAACTCCCAGAACCACCTCCGTGAAATTCCGGTCACACTCACCAAGGAGGGTGAAAAGTCTGCCGACAACTGACTCCAACAGTCTCAACTGAACCCAAGTCCCTCAGTACATCAGCAGACAAGTACGAACGCCCACTACCAGTGTCCAAAAGGCAATTAACTGACACCATTTTTTCTCCATTGAAAAAAGTGACCAATAGGATGGGGGCAAGCTACGGGAATAACCAGCAGAAGTCAGGTTGTTGGAATCCATGAAAGGAAGAAGTAACAGTGGCCCTCCGTGCGGTTTTTTGAGAAGAACCCTGGCCAGTGGTGAATGTAGAAGCAGCAGACGCGCTTCCTTAACCTGTAATCGTTTGACTGCCTCACTTGTAAGTTCCAATATAGCAGACAATGATGGTATTCGTTTACCTGTTAGTCCTATCATTTCCCCCTTCAATTCTTTTGGGAAATTTCTGAAAAGAATCTTGGCCATTAGGCGAGCTCCACCAGAATCGTCCACCGAAAAGTCGCAAGAAAAAGAATTCTAGCTCCTCCAAGAGAGAGGCAGTCCTGGAGATAAATTCACCCAGACCAGAGCAGCAGATGTCCTTTTTAGGAACATAGTCTATAATGTCTTGAAATATCTGGTCGATTATCTCATCAATGTCCAAATACTCCTCTTTAACACCGAAAGAGCACGCTGATAGTTGGCATCCGTGCAACTCAAATGGTTAATCAGTCTTAAAGCTCTGTCGGAGAGGGAACATTTCAGAAAGTTTAATCTTTCAGAGTCATTGGCCATGCCAACCACACAGTTTTCGAATCTCGTCAAAAAATTCCGGAAACTCATGTGGTCGTCAGCCATCTCAAGTCCGCTAAAGGTGGGCCCCGTTATTTGTATTTGCGGAGGTTTGACAACAAAGGAAGCCGAACTTCTTCCAGGTGTTGACGGAACCCCAAACGACTGGGAAACAGGATCCAAGCAGGAACTGGGAGAAAATGAACCATCCAGATCGCCCAGTTCTCGGTGGTACTCCATTAGTCGAGGCGCCCATTCAGCTTCGGTCTCAAGCAAGTCCGTCTCGGGGAAGGAGCCCAGCTCTAATTTTGTGATACAAGTCTCCATTTCGAAGATGTATTGCAGAATATCCTTTCGGAAGACAGAGAAAACATGAGGCGTTACTCTGTCTCCACGACACAACTTCAGTCGTTCCTCGACTTTGATTTTAAGAACAGTCAACCTATGAAGGATCTGTTCTTTAGTAACATCCATTTTTTTTTTTCTTTTTAAAGAAATGCCGTTAACAAAAAAAAGAAAAAACAAATTTCTGTAGAAGGTCCTTTTGCAATTTGTCGGAAAAAAAAACTTTCGACACAGTAAAGTAGGGAAAACCCAGAAGAGAGCAGCGACAGCCTGGTAAGGGTTGCAAAAGGAATCCTCCTCTTGCGACCTGCTCCAACTAGGTCGAGTAACAGAGCAGAAAAAAAGAAATAATCCTTCAGCACGACAAATAACCAGTCACGTGTCGGCTGATAGAGAAAATAGGTCAATCAGAATACAGAGGAGGGTTTTATAAGGAGGCTAACTGCTTCCCACAATCCTCCTCCGACCAAGACCATAAATATCAGTTGGTCATTTGGTTCCAGTTTAGCTGGACACAATTCCCCCGAGGCTCAAGCAACCCGTCCGTAAGTAACCCCTTCTCTCTTCCTCTTTCCTTTTCTTCACACATATTTAGTATATTTCATTATTTTAGTATATTTTTAGTATATTAATATATTTTTAGTATATTTTTAATATTTTCGTATATTTTTAGTATTTATTATATATTTAGTATAGTTTTAGTATTTTTGTATATTTTAGTATTGGGATATTTTAGTATATTTAGCATATTTTAGTATATTTTGATATATTTAGTATATTTGGTATACTTTTAGTATTTTAGTATATTTTCAGTATATTTAGTTTAGTATTTATCATTTTAGCATATTTTAGTATATTGAACTCACAATTACTATATCACCAAAAGCGAATCATCTCTTTAATCCACTAAGCTACTCTAGTCTCGTGGGACATGAGGGCAGTGAAGATTAAATAAAGGGTTCAGTTCTAAATTCCCTGTTGGTTACCCAGATTGATATACACCTGATGAAGACCGAAGGGAACAACGACTGAAACGTTGTCATAACAACAACAAAGATGAGGACAACAGTCCGAATGCAAATACTGTAAATAACGATGGCTCCTTATCCCAGAAATTAAGACAAAAACAGGTTTCTTTATTTCTAGAAGTGATTTCTCTACATCTGTGAAACATTCGGCGAGACGCGGGAAACCCATGAGAGACTAATAGGTTGCTCAGTTCGATCAAGTTCACCAAATGTTTGGTTGCAGCCATATATCTATTTATGCATTTATGTATGTATTTATGTATATATGGATATATATGTATCTGTGCATCTATCTACATACGAGGTGATGTTGAAAAGGTTTCGGTTGGATTAAGAAACCCTTCTGAAAAATATTTTCATTGTGGGTCATATGACCTGATTTTAGGAAGTGAATTGGGTCGAAAACTCTTTGCATCTCGCACTCTCTCTCTCTATCGTCTTTCTCTCTCTATCTCTATCTCTCTATACATATACATATATATATATAATTTATTCGAAAATTATAACATAGATATGTTATAAAATCACTACAAAAATAGCCATTTTGTTTCAACACTTCTCATTCAACACCATCACTTGACTTGATAAGACACCAGAAGTGTTGAAACAAAATGACTATTTTTGTAGTGATTTTATAACATATCTATGTTATAATTTTCGAATAAATGTACAAACAAAAATATATATGCAAGCATACAAATAAAACACCCACATATATGCAAATATAAATATGCATACAAAAATACACACACAGACGCACGCGCACACACACACACACACACACACATATATATGTATGTATAGGGTCAGGCTCCTCAGTTCCTAATAACTGACAGCCAAACACCCTACACATATGATTTGATTATAGTGGTGAAGGTTTTGTGCAGAACAAACCACACTTTTTGAAGGGTCGATAACAGAGACCTGGTGCACTAGGTGGCACAAAGTCCCCAGGTTTTGAATTCAGGGTTACCCTTCTCCTAGACCAGTTGCCATCCAAGGCTGTCCTGCTATTTACTCATAACTGGGGGAGGAGAGGAAAGAGGATTCATACCTTTTCCAAGGGTATTAGTACGTAAGTGAATGTAATGGATTCGACGGAATTCAAACTCAGCTTTCCCATTTCTCAATCCGAACAGCTATCCACCGTGCCTCTCTCTCTTTCATTCTCCCTCTGTCTGTCTGTCTGTCTGTCTGTCTCTCTCTCTCTCTCTCTCTCTCTATATATATATATATATATATATATATATATATATATATATATATATACATACACACATGTAGATATGACTGTGCTGACATATAAACAGAAAATACAAACAAGCACACATACATACGTTCATAAGTATCAACATATACTATCCTTCAACAATTGTACTTATAAAAATAGCACATCATTGTCGAAATACTTTTGGAATTTAAAAGAGAACAACAAAACTCCTACAGTTAAATAGGAACTACTCAAGAAGGCTCGAACCTGTTATTCCCTATACGCACTTTGTTTCAATGGAAGATTGGAAATTATTTCATTTAAGGACGGGATTGATATCTTAAACCAAAGGAATGAACTTACTGTTAACTTAGGATCCATCACTGTTTCGCGTAGCATGATGAAAAAGACCCCAACCTTGATGAAAACAAAAGTTTATCGTCAAAAGGTTTATGTGGTATACATAGTTGACTATCTACCTTGAAATATAAGTAATAATGAATGATAAAATAATGGTATTGTATGTTTGTCATACAATTGTTCTTTATAGTTTCTTTATTTTAAATATTTATATATATCAACATCAACACAGGTGTGGACATCAACACAGAGTCCTGGGAGAGCCTGGCAGCCATACGAACCGAATATAGAGGAATCCTGACCAAACACCTCAAGTCAAGGGAGGAGAAGCTGAGACAAGTCGCCACGGAAAGGCAGACCTGCAGAAAGCAAAGTGACAGCTCAAAAAGACCAGAGACAAAAGACACATGCGACCTCTGCAACAGAGATTGTCACTCTCTCATCGGCCTCTACAGTCACAGATGTCGATGATCCAGCCAAACAGACAACTAGGATGCTACCCATGGTCAACCCTGACCGACGGAGACTTACACATATTATATATATATATATATATATATTTTATTGTAATTATTACCTACGCTTATTTCATTGCGATTTAATCTTTGACATCGACATAGATAGTTAATGTTTTTTCTGCGTTTGATATTGTATATTTGTGATCAGTTGTACATTGATTTTGCATGTACTCAGAATCCAACATTGTTATCTATACATACTATACATGTATGTATAGTATGTGTCGTTGTTTGCTTTTCTGTTTATATGCGTGTATATTCATAACATAAACATGTTATAGCATCACTACAAAAATAGCCCTTTTGTTTCAATACTTCTGTTGTCTTCTCAAGTTCAAGTTGCATCAACAACAATAAAACAATCAACGTAGGGTATTATGCATATTTTTAATATATATATATATACATATATATATATATATGTGTGTGTGTGTGTGTGTGTGTGTGTGTGTGTTATTATAAGAGATTATAACAAAATAATATCTATCTATCTAAATATTCTCATGATCTATCTGTCTATCTATCTATAAATATATATATGTGTGTCTGTCTGTCTGTCTGTCTCTGTGTGTGTGTGTGTGTGTGTGTGTTCGTCTCTGTGTTTGGGTGTGTATATATATGTATATATATAGCTAATTGTGCGTCTATGTGCGTGTATATATATATACATATATATGTGTGTGTGTGTGCATGAATGTAGTATTATAAGGGATAATAACAAAAACATTTTTGAAATCGCTACACAAAAGTTTTCATGTTTCAATACTTTGATTGTACTTCTTCAGGCGATGGTAAGTAAGTGGTGATTAAATGATTAAGAAAATTTAAAAACAAAGTGTTACAACTTTTCCAAAAGTTAAATGCGGGAGACATAAGTCAGAATAAAAAAAATAGACTTGTGGGTATGTCTTGAGTAACCAATTAAATGTCAAATCTATGCTAAATAGAAAAGTAAACTCAGAGGGTGGAGATGGGTGAGTTAATTTTTTCATGCCATGATAAACCGGAAGATAGACAGGCCATCAGCAATTTCAAAATATTTCTATTATAATCTCTAATAATAAAATTAATATATTGCTCTACTTTGTATTGAGAACTTTTTAAAAGTAAATACTACTAACAGTGGAATTTTACACCATCTGTTCTTTTTTTCTCATTTGTATATATATATATATATATATATATATATATATATATATATATATTTAAGTAAATGTTCTGTTTATAATAAACAGTATTAACAACATTTACCAGCCCGAACGTCCGGGAAATTTCATAGACAGAAATCGAACCTCTATCCAACAGGGAATCATCATATAGACTGACTTGTTATACCCGTTTAGCTATGAAGGAGCGTCTGGTTAGCAAGATCGAGTTTAATGCTTTTAAACTACAATTTTCCTTGATTTCCGTACGAACGATGATATCTGCTCGAAACGTAAACAATGATGTCCCACACTACGAAATAGACAAAGTGAATGTCCGAAAAATTTTATAGAAAATATGCGTCCTCCGACAGGAATCGATCCTGTATCCGCTAAATGTTGTTAATACTGTTTATTATAAACATAGCATTTACTTAAATATTTGTCTATATATAAATAACGTATAACAATAAAATATATTAAAATAGTTGTCAGACTTATCCATTTCATATATATATATATATATATATATATATATATATATATATATAAGGCAGAATATGTGTTTGTAACGAATGCATTTGGCCGCAATTTCGACGGATTTGCTTAAAATTTACATGCACATGCTCCAAGTTAGCGAGAAGGCCAAGACCGACTTTGCATTTCCCAACTTCCATCGATAGTGAAATAATCGATTTTTCATGCTTCTACGGCAGTTTTCATGTAGTTTGCGGCCATTTTCTACTGCCAGAGTGAGAGCTGGCTGCCACGAATAGGCAGGAAGATTCTATTGGCCAGCGAGAGAGCAAACAGATGACTGACACGAGTGTTAACTAGCATGCTAGCATGCAAAAAAAAATCGATAGCTGCATTCGTCACAAAATTTAAATCTGCATGGCACTTTACTCCAATTGGCTAATTCGCTTGCTTAAACTCAACGTTGATTCTGATTCCGCAGAACTGGGTTGGGTGTGAAAAAGTATTTGTTGTTAACATTCTTTTTTCATTCGGTTTTTCCAGTTACGAGTCCTTTTTTAAAGCTGATCGTTTTGTGTTCATTTTGTTTAGTTCTTTTTTCGTAACAGATTTAATGTTTAGTATAGAGCTTAGAAAAATTTCGCAGTCTGAGATAGGCAAGAAGTAAGGCATGTAGCAACATCAGCACGCAAAGGACACTCCTTTAAAGGCAAGGAAGGGCAAAAATATTTTAAGTCAATTGATAGCGATTGCTGTATGGAGTCGTACGATTTTTGAATCAAGCACGGGCAACGCCGGTCCATGCTGCTATATATATATATATATATATATATATATATATATATATATATATGTGCGATGACCTGTATATATGTGTATCACTTTTTATCAAAATTATCTTGGATCTTTCTTTTTCTCTCTCTATCTCTCTCTACCTCTCTCTACCCCTCTCTCTCTCTCTCTCTCTCCTTTCCTCTCATCCCTTTCTCGTGTTTCTCTTTCTTTTCACAATCATCTGTTTCCTTGTCTTGCGTTAAGTCTCTGTCTCCTTCACAAAATTGTCGATTTCTCTTTTCTCTCTTTCTCTAATCATTTCTATCAAATCTCTCAATCAATTCTCTCTTTCTCTAATCATTTCTATCAAATCTCTCAATCAATTCTCTCTTTCTCTCATCATTTCTATCAAATCTCTCAATCAATTCTCTCTTTCTCTCATCATTTCTATCAAATCTCTCAATCAATTCTCTCTTTCTCTAATCATTTCCTCTATCAATCTTCTCTCTATATATCTTTTGTTTTTCTCTGTATTTCTTTCTCAACATTCTCACTCTTTCTCTCTCTCTCTCTTTTCTCAATATTCTTTCTCTCTCTCTCTTTCTCCATCTCTCTTTCAATCCTGTATTTCTCTATCTCAATATTGTCTATTTTCTCTCTCTCTCTCTCTCTCTCTCTCTCTCTTGCCAATCAACCTCATTCTCAACATTCTCTCTCTCCCTCTCTCAACATTATTCCTCTCAATTTTTCACAATTTTAATACTTAATTTTCTTTTCTGTTTTTTTTTTCCCGTCCGTTCTCGAACATAAAAATCCTCGAAAGTAATAAAAATAAAAAAATCCTGCTACAAAGAGATTTCGAGAACAGCCTGGTGCCACATCATTAAAGAACGTAAGCTCGGATAACCAAGCAATTTGTACATGAGGTTCGCCGAAATAAGAAACGAACCAAAAAATGCTACGTATAAAGAAAGAAAAAGAAAAAAGAAACAAATTTAAAGGTCTAAATGATCGTTATAAAAAGAAATGCTTATTGCTTAGAGAAAAAGACAAAATTACTAGCGAGAGAAGTAAAAAAAAAAAAAAAAAAAACGGTAACAACCAAAGGAGCTAACTCGGTTAGATAGATGCCTAAAATAGAGACTATTCATTTTTCTTAAAGAAAATGCTGCTTCCAGGAATAAAATTTTCAGTCAGTTGAAGATCCTAAACAAAGTTTATGTGGAAAGGGCATCCGTTAAGTTAGTTCTAAATTGTGGTTTCCTTTCAGAATAGTGCATGCTGGGAAAACGGAAGTCAAAGTCACTGAGCTAACAAATCCATAATATCATAGTTATGGCTGCGTAGTTTTATAGCAGAAAATATCAAAAAGTCTTTGGAAAGAAAGACATTATCCACGAGGCGCACTCAAAAAAAAAAAAAAATTAAAACACAAAATGCTAGTAAAATTAAGAATCACCGTAATTCTTCATGTATAATACCCATTTTTTTCTAAAACGTAATAAACAAAATCAGGGTGCGTATTATGCACAGCTACAAAAAAATCTATAAAAATTGCCGTAAAATAAAATAAGAATTATCATAAAACTAAATTAGAATAATATTATTCTATGTTTAAAACCATTTTTTTTAAATAAGAGTAGGAAACGCTGGTCGTAATGAAATTGGAGATGTAAAATTTATAGGGTTTGATTACCAAACAAGGAGTGCGTATTATGCGTGAGTAGAAGCATTTTCCCACACTTTCAGCACAATTTTAGGAGTTCGTATTATGGATGAAAGCGTATTATACATGGTGAATTATAGTATTATTATTATTATCATTATTATTGTAATGTCTTCTAATATATCACATAGACGTTCTCACATTTACTGAGTGATGACTGACTTATTTATTAGTCGATTGAATCTATACATAATAGAGTAGCTTCATTTTGTCTCTATCACTGCAATAATAATATTATTATTTTCTTTAATTTCTGTTGTATAGATATTTGCTTCCGGGTTGCAATCAGAGACCTAAAGGTCAGAAATGGCTTCATGACATTTTCCACTGAACACTTTTGTACAAAAAAAAATCTACGATCACATACATTTTACTCAGATAAATCTCTTCGTAATGTGGGAGCTGTAGTATTTTGTATTTCTTTAAGACCTCGGAAAGCAGGAATCCCTTCAATGAAACTATCAGAACTTTTTCCAATCAATCCGAGTGCTCCAACTACAACTGGAATCATTTATGTCCTCATGGGCCACATTTTGAAATTTCCACTTCATGTTCCTTGAATTTTGATAGTTTTTTGAAGATCTTCAAACATCCATTGCAATCTGCAGAAAATGTCAATAAAAAAGCACATTATGTTCTTGTGGTCTTTGATCACGATCTTATTATTATTATTATTATTATTCTTTCATTTTGGATAAAATAGTTTGTGAAGAGAAAGTCTCTCTGGCTCGTAATGTACTAGTAAATTAGTTTTAAGAAAGGCGAGCAACTTTCAGCTTTTAGGCAATTCTTCATAATTTAGTAGGTTGCTAGAAACCTTTGATCTATAGTACATATTGGTTAAAATGAACTATAGTTAGGGTGTAAGATTCCTCAATATTAAAGATAGATCGCGAGAGTGATTGATTTGAATTTTACGGCTTATCAACCCCTTGTGGGTTATTTAATATCGAAACATATAAAGGATTGTAGGAGGTTGCTTATAGCAATCGGTGTTCACCATTTAAGTAGTGACTAAATCGTGAAAAAATAGATTTTTTTTATAACAGCGATATTTGAAAGGTATGTCTATTATCATTATGGTCATTAACATTAATCAAATAACCAAATCGGTATTTTGATAGTTTCTTGAAGTTCTTCAGACATCCATTACAATCTGCAGAAACTACCAATGTCAATAAGAAAGCACATTCTGTTCTTGTGGTCTTTCATTTTTGTTTATTTGGTTGATTGATTTTGTTTAGCAGCATATCAACACCTCTATGAGTTATTTAATGCCGAAATCTAATCTGAACGCAATTTTATGGCTTCAACTATAGATACTGTTGGTTATTTTGCTATAAATATGTATTTGTTGCTAATTTTTTATATATATAAATATGTATTGCTGGAATTTATACCATAAAAATGCATTTTTATTCTTTCATCGAGTTTTTGATTGGGGGCTTACTATCTGGGAACCTAACATGTGCTACTACCCCTGGTTAGGGCGGACCTGGGAACAACTACAATTAAGAGATGGTGCCATGCTCCTCAAAACCTCCAATCTCCCGATCAGAGGCCCTGCTGCCAGATGTAGTTTATCGTTATGCCCAGGACTAGTTTGGGGTTAATCAGTCAAGAAAGAGAGAGAGAGAAGGTCAAATGATCCCCTAGTTTAGCGTTTATGTATTCACGGCCTGACAAACTTCCTAAAATTCTGACTAAATTTTCATAGTTTTTAAAGCACATCTTTTGCACGCCGAGAACTTTTCAACATACTTCGTACAAATGTAAAATCTTTTTTTTTTCTTTTTTCCATTTGAAATCCACTAGAAATTCCTTTTGTAAGAGAAAGGATGTCTTAAATAAGCTGACTTATAAACTTCAATAACTGTATTTATCCTTTGATTAAAGGTCAATAGATATTGAATCGAAGTTATTTTAAGTTTGAATCTGCTTAATAATCCTTCTTCAAGATATGGCAATTTAGTTTTTGGTTTCGAGTAAAAATTCAAGAATAACTCAATCGAAAGAGATGTAAAAGAAAAACCGAATAATTGGAAGAAAAAAAAAACGTGATCATATATTTATTTCAAAAGAAAATCCCAATATACAAGGCATGTGCAAAGATTTCTAGAACTCTTTTTTGAATCTAGAAAAGGGATTACATAGGGGAAAGCCAGTTTTTAACACACCAAATCCAGAATCTACTATCCAAATTGGGGTACCACTTATTTATATTCGGACTAATGTCTTCATTTTTGTTGATATGTGGCCCATATTGGAGAGCTATGTTTCGCGTATCTAGTACTCAAGGGTGTCATACCTTGAAAGAGGCTGTTATGATATTGTTTGTTTGTTTGTTTAGCGGCATATCAACATCCTTATGGGTCATTTAATGCTGAAATTTAATTTTCTTGGGAGCATTAGTAATTTTCTTTACAAAAAATGTATTTATTGTAATCTCTTTATTATTTTGTTTATGTTGAAACTTGACTAATGCATGGAATAATAATGCAACACAAAATGTACTTAGAACAAAATGTATTGAAACAAGAAAGTGTACACAATATTTACATATAGTCTTTTGTATATTCCTGGTAAGACCGTTCCTGGAGAATGTGTTGACTGAGTCGCAGTCGGGCAGAGTCTCTGGTTGAATCTCTAGATTCCCCCCCTCTCTTCCCGGTACCAACCATATTTATATGGTCGGTACTCCACTATGCAAATTAGGTGGATCCTACCAGAACAGTTTACAATAATATATTTCTGCTAATTTTTTAGTATTTTCTTTACAAAAATAGATTGCTGGTAATTTTTTATTATTTTCTTCCCAAAAGTGAGGACATATTAAGGGCCATGTTGAAAGCAAAGAGTGATCATTATGAATTAAAAATAAATGTAAAATATTATATTTTTATTTTATGATCAAATGAATAGTGGGTAAATATACCACATCTGATATAGCAGCAAGTATTGGGAATGAAGTTAGTCTACAGAAGACCTCATATTCATTATTTACATTATTTGGACTATTGTCCTCATCTTTGTCGCCATATTTCTCAATATTTCAGATCTGATATAGCAGCAAGTGTTGGGAATGAAGTTAGTCTACAGAAGACCTCATATTCATTATTTCCATTATTTGGACTATTGTCCTCATCTTTGTCGCCATATTTCTCAATATTTCAGATCTGATATAGCAGCAAGTGTTGGGAATGAAGTTAGTCTACAGAAGACCTCATATTCATTATTTACATTATTTGGACTATTGTCCTCATCTTTGTCGCCATATTTCTCAATATTTCAGATCTGATATAGCAGCAAGTGTTGGGAATGAAGTTAGTCTACAGAAGACCTCATATTCATTATTTACATTATTTGGACTATTGTCCTCATCTTTGTCGCCATATTTCTCAATATTTCAGATCTGATATAGCAGCAAGTGTTGGGAATGAAGTTAGTCTACAGAAGACCTCATTATTTCCATTTATTTTCACGCCATATTCAATATTTTTGATATAGCACAAGTGTTGGGAATTAGTCTACAGAAGACCTCATATACATACATTATTTACATTATTCTTTGTCCTCGCCTTTGTCGCCATATTTCTCAATATTTCAGATCTGATATAGCAGCAAGTGTTGGGAATGAAGTTAGTCTACAGAAGACCTCATATTCATTATTTACATTATTTGGACTATTGTCCTCATCTTTGTCGCCATATTTCTCAATATTTCAGATCTGATATAGCAGCAAGTGTTGGGAATGAAGTTAGTCTACAGAAGACCTCATATACATTATTTACATTATTTGGACTATTGTCCCTCATCTTTGTCGCCATATTTCTCAATATTTCAGATCTGATATAGCAGCAAGTGTTGGGAATGAAGTTAGTCTACAGAAGACCTCATATTCATTATTTACATTATTTGGACTATTGTCCTCATCTTTGTCGCCATATTTCTCAATATTTCAGATCTGATATAGCAGCAAGTGTTGGGAATGAAGTTAGTCTACAGAAGACCTCATATTCATTATTTACATTATT